GTCATCCCATTCAGGGGAGATTAGAAACTTGTCAAGTTTTACCAATGCAAGAGCTGCTTGGTTGTTTGTCCATGTGAAATTGGCACCAAAGAGAAACAAATACATCACACTCCACCTCTGAACAAAATTTGCAAACTCCCTCATACTTTGTCTCTTCTTACCAACCCATTTTTTTCAAGGGTGAATCTGATTGTATTGGAGTCCCCTCCCATGCACCAAGGGGTTGAGAGTTCACCTTCTCTAATACCCTCCAATTCCTCCCAAGACCTGGGTCCTGCTGCATTTATCAAATACTTCTATGGTGTCACAGTTCCGAATCACCAAAATTCCACCTGCCGTTCTAGTGGTTGGTAAAAAATTCCCAATCACACTGCCTTTGACCCCCTCTGACCTCACATACTTCTAACCAAAGAAGTTTCCACCTATTGTAGTCTAGTTTTATGCATGCAAGGAACATCCTATTACCATTTATTAAAAAAGTTAGCAGATTAGCATCCTCCTTCCCAAGTTAAGGCCTCTAACATTCCAGGAGATTACTTTCATATTTGTCATGGGGACTAGTAAGTCAAGATTTTTGTCTCCTACTCCTTGTGATCCGATTGTTAGAGTCATCCACCCTATCATTAAGCCCCCAAGCCAACCAAAATAGTTCTCAATCAACTCTCCTTCATTTTCTTCGCTTTTCTTCTAAAAATCTATTCTCAATCTCTATAAAGAGTTCTACCATTTCTCTCTTCATACTCTAGATGGAAAATGAGAAATTCCCAAAAGACAAACTTTAAACAACACCCAAGGAGGCATTTCCTCATCAAGAGGATTAGCCTTCCTGTATGGGCCTAGGCCAGGCTGAGCTGGGCATTGGGCCTATGACATCAAAAAATGAAAACTTAATTATTTATAAAACTTGTAAGTTATATGATGTATAATACATGAAAAACTATTGCATGGGCCCAAACTAGGCCAAGCTTAGCATGGCTTTGGGCCTATGACACAAAAAATAGGGTGTGGGCTTCATTCTAATTCCTAGGCTTGGCCTAGCTTGTCTTGGCTTGTCTATCCTTTAACTGATGAAGGCAAGGCCTTCATTCTAATTCCAGAGAAACGTGAGACTTGGGACAACACTCAAGTGTTACATTCACTAATGAGTGTTGTCTCAAGTTCCACACTGCTTAGGAATTTGAATGAAGGCCTTGCCTTCATCTATATAAACCCTTGCTTAGGAGGACAACTCTCATATCTCAGTTGACCCATGTCTTAACTCATGAATATGTATGATATAAATTAAAGTTTTAAATAAAATAAAATGTATTGTATATGTATAAACATAAAATATATATATAATAAAAAAAAGGGGCAACCTAGTGCACGAGGCTCCCACCAATGCGGGGTGTGAGGAGGGACAGATGTATGCAGCCTTACCCCTACACATATAGAGAGGTTTCCAAGATTTGAACCCTAGTCACCCAAGCCGCAATGGAGAAATATATATTATTATATCATATGTTGTATATTTTATTATTTTATATATTATTATAATATACATATGTAATATAGATATAATATTATAATATTAAATATATAAATTATTACATATAGGACATAACATAATATTTTATAATATAAATATTATATATATATATATATATTGCGGGCCAAGATAGCTTCTGAGTCGGGCCAAGAATGATCACCCCTAACTATAGCACCTCAACAATTCAATCGTTTGGCTTGAATAGAATACCGAGTTTGAGGTAGAGTGCGAGCCCATAGTGGATTGATCCTATGGGTTTTTAGGAGAGCCAAAATGTGAATTTACTCTGCCCACCCTTGGACTGGGAGTGCTTAGTGATGTGTCTAGTGAACCATCTCTTATAGGTGAAAGAAGGCTAAACAAGATTCTTTTTTACACCATTTGTCCAGCTGGTTTAACACCTACTTGAATTTGGATTCAGTCCTCACAAAACTGTCCTCATATCGTCCTACAGCCCTTTTCAGCCGTGAATTGGGAACATCTCTGTACTTGTATTTTTTTATTCATGAGGAGATATTCTCAATGCATAGCTGCAAGGGACTATTTAAAAAGCAAGGTCCCCTGTTTTATTCACTAACAAAGTTAGCCTAAGAGACCACAAAGATTGAGTGGCCAGATCAATCTCTAGTTTTCCATTGCTCATCGCCTCTAATGCATGGACTTTAGAGAGCATTGGGCAGGGATTGCCTTCCTCTTCTCCAATCAGCTCCACCTCCTCTAGCATCCCACTTGCTAGCAACCTTGTGTTTGGACTTTCTTCTTGAACAAGATGTTTGCCATATTTGATGGCCTTCCTTTTAAGCACCAAAGCCACCACATACCCCAATTGTCTTCCCCTTTCAGCATCATTGGGCCTAACTTTGGCCATAGAGAAGCCATCCAAATGTTGTCCCCAACACAGATGGGGGGTGGGGGTCCTGCCATCAAGTCTTCACCCTGATCCACTCCACTATGTTTTTCGCCAAGTTCAAGTTGTCCATCTCCACAAAGGCACCCTATCTTTCTCACCAGGCTCTCCAACCAAAGGTGACCCATAACTTTTACCCAATATTCAATGGGTTCCTTTCTCCCCAATTGACAACTGCCAAATTTGGGATCCCATAACTCCAAATGAATTCCATCAAACAAGTTTCTTGCCCCAATTTTCCAGATTCTAAGAGCCTCAATTTTGGATGGAAGTATGAAAAGGAATCAATTACTAGATATTTGCATCACTTAGCCTCACTTACACCCCAAAAGGAATGTCCTATCTTTTTACCACTCAACAATGGATGTCTTCCATTGATAAGTCTCTGGTGTTCACTAAACCAACCAGACATGCTTTAAGGAAGTCCAACCATTTACCAAACCTTATCCCTCTAGCCTAACATAGAAGCAGTTTGGATGAACTTTAACTAAGGCCTTTCCTTTGCTCATCCAAGTATTCTTTCATTTTGTCTCTACGAAGGAGGTTCCACTTTGTAGTGTAGGTCCAACAATCCTACATCTCAATCTACCTTTGCCCCTCCAACAAATAGGCCTTCCATTGAAAGTTCCCTTCATAATCTTTACGAGGAAGAAGGCCAAGATCCGCAATCAATGGCAACAATGAATCACTTTGTCAGTATCATGCCATGTCTCTTGCTTCTTGTTGAAGGCAACAAAGAAAGATTTGTTAGCTTGTTTGGATTAGGATCCAGCTTTTTGGTCATTGAGTGAAACCATAGCTCTAAGTTAGAAGGGATCATCTTTATGACTATTGGTACCACATCAACAATGGGGGAAAAAGCTCTAATACAAACCTCAGCTACCAAATCATCACTCATAGTAGGTCCTTGGGATAAAAACTTTGCACATTCTATGGTCAATTTCCTTAAGGATTACCTTACATCTTCCAAAGACCATCCCTCAGAACCTCTGCCAATGTTTTCCTTGATGGGAGTATGAAAAGGAACAAGTCACCAACAAGCTTTTTCACATTGACTCCATCTAATGGTCATCAAACCTTGAGGACTCATCTCTTCATCCCCACTACTTATTTTTCCCTTAAGAATCATCCAATAAGGAAGTTTCCCAAGAAACTTTTCCTCATTTCTACAAATCCAATTGCCATTTCAAGGAAATACTTCTTCCCCTTACACTAAATCTAGCATCTTTCCCACTCCAGCCACATCTCTCTATTCAGAGTATTTCAATATGATACCCCTTCTTTAATGTGGGCATCCTTCATTGAAACATTCCTTCTCCATTTACCTCATTCCTTGTAGTCCCCTAAAATGGCATGACTATGAAACTTGATTTCTTTTTTTTTTTTTTTGGTAGACTAAACTTGATTGAATTTCTCAACTTGCATATGCTCAAAAAGAAAAACTACTACTACCTGTTAAATTTGAGAAAAATGTTTCCAAATGTCCTCCTTCCTTGAAGCTTTCCTTTCTTCCAAGTCGATCTAAAGCCATGTGTGTTAAAAGGTCCCACTACTTTTGGAATTATCTTCCAATTTTTGCAGTCCAGATCTCCTACCCACAGGACACCACAGTCTCACAGTGGGAACACCTCTCATTCATGAGGAGATATTCCTAATGCGCGGCTGTGGTGTCCTGTGGGTAAGGAATCTGGACGCCAATTTTTGTGGTTATGAAGTAGGGTTCCTTTAGACTGACGTTTCAAATGGCAAAATTGTAATTTTATGTGTATATAATATGGTGCACACTTTGCCCATAGAGTGGAATAGAATGTTTTGTTGAATTACATGATTATGTTTATGTTTCTCCTTCCCCAAACCCTAATTTTATTGACGTCTCTTCTCTTTATTCTCTATCCGCTTGTTCCTCTCCTACTTGCAGATCTGATCAATTCTTTCACATCATCTGCTAATCCATCCTTCTAGAAGTCACCGCTTCACCACAGTCATCCCCTTCTACCCTCCCAAGTAAGTCTCCTTCCCTCTCTTGTTGAACTTCCTTCTCCCACCTTCCCAAGACAAACCTTAATCCTTCCTTTTCTTTGTTTATTGCAATTCTTTTATTAGTTTTGGCCTATGTTACCCAGATATGGAAAAGACAACTGGATGTTGTATCAAATATAGAATTTACACTAACAATTGAAGCATCTGACATGATATGGCACCCTTATACAGATATCCAGGTATCACAGCTTTTAGCATTAGTTCCTTTGTTTCTAACACCTACCAACTACTTCTAGAATTGTAGGATCACTCTATCCAACATCACTGGAATTGGTGACCACTAGGCCCATGCCAGGCCATCAACTGAAAGCCTAGGCCATGTATCATCACTACACAATCCCATCCCCCAAAGCTG